GGGGGGAGAGAGAGAGATAGAGAGAGAGAGAGAGAGAGAGAGAGAGAGAGAGAGAGAGATTATGTACTGTCATTTATTCATCAGGACTTTAAAATATTTAAAAATATATCTTTATTTATTTTTCTAGTTAATATGACCTATACTGTTAAAGGGTCATTAAAGGAGAACTATGGGGTTAGGGCTTTTCCCCATAGTTCTCCATAGGGTAACGGGAGGACAAAAAATAGTGTCCTCCCATCACCCTAAGCTCAGTATACAGCGAGCTGAGCTACAGCGAGCGGTATACTGAGACGCCGCAGCTAAAGCGGATCCCTACAATTATATCTGGATCCGCCCAGCTGCGTGAGTGACAGCTGGCTCTGCCTATCTAGAGCAGAGCCAGATGTACCCGCCCCCTCCCCCGTCCGTTCCGCCAGTCAGCGCTGGAGGATCGGAGCGGGGAGGGGGGAATCCAGCCCCTCCCCTGTCAGGGCAGAGAGCCGTGACAGGATCGAGAAGTGAGCGAATGCCGGTATGTGTTCCCTCACCTCCCGATCTACTGAGCCGACCTGTGACAGTCTCATTGTCACAGGTCGGCTGAGCTGAGTGAAAAGCACTTACCTTTCTTTCTTTAAAAAAAAAACTTTTGAAACCGGTTTAAACTTACCTGTGTCTTCGCCGCGCGCTCGCGTCCTAACATCTGAAGAGTCTTGGGCGCCCACAAAGCATCTTGGGGCGGGCGCATGCGCACTTCAGATGTTCAGCCGGGAGACTGGGAGAGACACAAGGTAAGTCTATGGAGCAGCGTGCACCCGCACAGACTCCGTGGGACATAAGAGAAGAGGAGGACAGAGGAGTCAGCGCTGGAGGGACAGCTGAAAACTACACTAAAGAAGAAGATGATTGGATTAAGAGGTATGGTTTACAGTAAGTCCCTACACTAACATCGAGGGGAGGGAAAAAGAATTAGCCTTTAATGTCCCTTTAAGGTGAGTGAGAAATCTGAACATTCTAGTATCTAGCACTGCATCTCTCTATCACTCTCCTTAGTAAAAGGGCTCAGATCAGTATTCCACTTTTCCCCCAAAGTGCAGCATATTATAACTTACTTTTTGTATATTAGATGGTATAACAAAATTTGGGTTCTGGGACTCAAACGTTCTGTTTTCTTCAGATGCCATCGTAAGGTCACAAATAAATTCTTCAGCGAAAAAAACAGTGAGAAAGCCCTGGTGGAATTTTTAGTATGTGAATCTTCAGTCATCAGACAGTACGGTCTTGAGAGAAAGATGCATAAATTGGAGGCAGCATCTATTTATAGCAAAGTATGCAAAAATAGACTAGACTAGACTAGTAGGGAATACATTTCCTAATACTGGGCTTGTAAAAGCAGATTTCCTAAGAACATAATTCATACGGGAAATAAAAAATAGGACAATTCAAAACTAGACCACTGCTGCAAACCAACTGACACTGAAAACTCGATACACAATATATATTCTTTGTGGTCCTGTCCCAATGATGCGTTCCACCCTGGCACACTTTGTTAAGGAAACATTTCACTATTGCATTATCTATAGTAGAACTGTGCTCTTTATGACTACCATTAAGTGATTTATTACAGATTTTTATATAGCACCAACAATTTACACAGCACATTCACATCAGTCCCGGCCCTCAAGGAGCTTAAAATCGAAGGTCCTTATTTCACATACACACAGGGCCAATTTAACTACCAGCATGTTTTTGGAGTGTGGGAGGAAACTGGAATACCCAGAGGAAACCTACATAAGCACAGAAAGAACATGCAAACTCTATGCAGATATTGTCCTGACTGGAATTTGAACTGGGGACCTCCAGTGCTACAAGGCAGACGTGCTAACCACTACACCACTGAACTGCCATAGCCCAGTGATGGATTCTTTCTCATTTCATGCTGTCCCACTTTTTATATGTCTAATTTTTTGAAAGCCATAAGCCCAACTCCAGTATACATGTTTGTTAAATCTTTGCTGTCTTTTTAATTAAGTAATCTTATTAGAAGTTTGGAAGTTAATATTTACTATCTCAATGCCACCTTGCTCATCCTCTCATTCTGCTTTTACATGAGGCACTGCCCTGTTTCCTGGTTGGATGACTCAGCCTCTTCCTGTCCGCTCAAGCAGTCAAGGCATTATCCCTGGTAGTTCAAGGCTACAGTCGGTTGCATAATCCCACTGTCTGGACTTACCACAGGTGTTCTTGTTAGTGAGAATCAGCAGAACATGTGTGAGTGGCCAAGACTAGGGCTGTCTATCAGACACAAGAAACCACTCTGTTAATGCCCACACACATTTTATTTGCCACCCCTGCAGAGTTGAAATAGCATTGCTTGCTGGATACTAGTTTTCAGATGGCAGAATATTCCAATGTAATCTCTGTTAAAGAACACTCACATTCCTGCACTAGACAAGGAAGAAGGGGCCAACTAAATTGAGGAAGTGTGCAGAGCATAAGAGGAAATTAGAATAGTGGTTTATCTCTGATTCTGGAGTTGGGGTTTCAAAGAGACACATACAGACGTGGACAAATTTGTTGGCACCATTCCACACAAAAACAAGAACCCACAGTGTTTCAAAAATAACTTGACACTGACCAAAGTAATTGGCATCCATCTTTGTTTACTCCACATTTAATTCAGTAAAGTAAACACAGAGGAGGCGCCTTTCCTGGTGCAGATCAATTTAATTCAAATTAGATTTTGCTTTTGGTTTTTGATTCAACAGAATATTTAAATAACAAATGAAAATGATGGAACCCTTAACCCAATATTTTGATGCACAACCTTTAGAGGAAACCACTGCAAACAGGCGATTTCTGCATCTCTCAGTGAGGCATCTGCACCTGTCAACAGGTAGTTTGGCCCTTCTTGAGCAAACTGATCCAGCTGTCTCAGGTGTCCTTTACTTTGAAAGCTTATTTTTTTCATCTGTACTCCTAAAACTGATGTGAATTGCCAAAAATCTTCCATTTGGTTCATTTGAAACCAAATGAAGATTCTCTCAGAGGCAATGTGGCTTATCAATAAGCATTTTAGCATATTCCAGTCTTGTTCTTTATGTTTTTCTTTCAACAGTGGAGTCTTCCTTTGAGCCCACTGTTGCTCAAAAAGTGACAGATGGTGTGATCAGATATTGATGTACCTTAATCTTGCAGTTACATAGTTACATAGATACATAGTATTTGAGGTTGAATAAAGACATAAGTCCATCAAGTCCAACCTATTGTGTGTATTTTTTATAGGTCCCTGAGTCATCTCGCTCTTAAGAGTACCTGTACCCCTGTACATTACAGACTCTCAGGAAATCGTCCAAAAGCTTCTTGAATGATTTCACACTATTTGCTGAAATCACTGCTTGTGGGAGAGAGTTCCAGACCCTAACCGCTCGAACTGGGAAGAACTCCCTTCTCCCCTTGTGTTGGAATTTTTTTTCTACCAATTTTAGGTGGTGGCCTCTAGTCTTTGTTATGGAATTAATCTTAAAGAGTTTGTTGCTAATGTTGCTGTCACCATTGAACATCTTGTACATGAAAATCATGTCCCCCCTTAATCTCCTTACTTCCAGCGTGAACATATTTAAATTTAGTAGCCTTGTTTCATAGTTCTGGTCCTCCATCCCCTTGATGAGTTTGGTTGCCCTCCGCTGGACTCCCTTCAGCTCAAGTACATCCCCTCTGTGTACTGGTGCCCAAAACTGGACCGCATACTCCAGATAAGGCCGAACCAGTGATGTGTAAAGTGGCAAAATTATAGACTTGTCCCTGCAAAACATTCCCTTATTGATGCATGACAGGATTCTACTAGCTTTGCTTACAGCAACCTGGCACGGTAATCTATTATTCAGTTTATGGTCTACAATGACCCCCAAATCTTTCTCCATTTCCGACTTCCCTAGTGGCATATCCATAATTGTATAGCCCATTTGCTTATTTTGAATCCCAAAGTGCATAACTTTGCATTTATCGACATAATACGTCCTTGGCAGCGAAAGGGTTAAACATCGTCTGCCATATAGTTGCCCACTCCCCTATTTTATCCAGGTCCTCCTGCAATGTTATACTATCTTGGTCTGTTTCTATTACCCTCCCAATTTTGGTATCGTCAGCAAACACTGAGATATCGCTGTTCGCGACGATGTCGTTAATAAACAGGTTGAATAGCATGGGTCCCAGCACAGAACCCTGAGGCACACCGCTAATGACACTAGCCCAGTCTGAAAGGGCACCATTTATTGATACTCTCGGTTCCCGTTCCTTTAGACAGTTCTTTATCCATGTACACACCCTTCCATCTATGCCCAAAGACCTCAGCTTGTATAGTAAGCGTTTATGAGCTACCGTATCAAAAGCTTTTGCGAAATCCAGATATACCACATCCGCAGACCTCCCTCCATCCAGATCTCTACTTACCCCCTCGCACTAACCTCCTGTTCAGTCTAGGGTTGATTTTACTCTACAGGCCATGTCCAGGGAGGTGGCTAAACACCCACGGATCCTAATCACTTCTTGCGGATGGCCGTACATATACGGCCGGCCACTGAAGTGGTTATACCAAGAATACAGCTGCTGCTGCAGCCATGTTCTTGGTATCGTATTAAACAGCAGGCGTTGGCTGTTTCTGTACAAGTGATCCAGCGTCTGTACAGGTGCCAGATTGTTTGTACAGTGCGATGCTGTGTCCACACACCCCTCTGGCGCCACCAGCTTTCCCAGGCTTTGTTGTCCACCGTGCAGGCCCGAGAAACAGAACTGTCAATGCCGGTATTTATAGGTTTTCAATTAATTTTCACATCCAGGTTGTCTTAAAAGTGACCTGGAGTATAATTCAGATAAAAATGATTAATATTAATGAAACGTTCTGTGTTTTGAAATTACAGCCCTTCTTAGAAGTGGAGAGTCCTTTAATGTGGATGTGAAGAATGGATTATCCTTCAGTGGCAATGTGGACGATATGTTCGGATATACTGTTCAGCAGTTTGAAAATGAGGACGGAAAATGGTAAAGTAGATGGACACGGTGTCATTGTTTGTAAATCTGGGACTCACAGTATTTTCAAAACAATTTAGGCAGATGAATGTTATCAGCTAAATGAAAATAATCTTATCAACATATGTTATAGTTGTAAGCTTCCTTTAGTTTATAATGATATATATGTATATGGATCCATCATATTTGTTCACTACTTAATACCCATGCATTCTGTGCTTCTTAAAGCAGGACTCTGGGAAACAAGTGTCCTTAAGCCTTGCAGTGGGTCTACCTCTGCACCGCAGGGGTTAAAGGAGAACTATGGGGTTAGGGCTTTTCCCCATAGTTATCCTAAGGGTAACGGGGGGACACAAACTAGCGTCCTCCCGTCACCCTAAGCGTTATACTTAGACGCCGCAGTATACCGCGGGGTACAGCTCGCGGTATACTGAGACGCCGCAGCTGAAACAGATCCCGACAATTATGTCTGGATCCGCCCCGCTGCGTGAGTGACAGCTGGCTCTGCCTATCTAGAGGCAGAGCCAGCTGTACCCACCCCCTCCCCCGTCCGTTCCGCCAGTCAGCGCTGGAGGATCGGAGGGGGCAGGGGGGAATCCAGTCCCACCCCTCTCATGGGTCTCTGCCGTGACAAGATCGAGAAGTGAGCGAATGCCGGTATGTGTTCGCTCACTTCCTGATCTACTGAGCCGACCTGTGACAGTTTAACTGTCACAGGTCGGCTAGAACTATGAGGATGAGTGAAAAGCACTCACTTCATAGTTCTCCTTTTAAGTGCTCATTTTTGTCTAGGTGCTAAAAAAAAAGTTATACTCACCTGATCCTCGGTGCCCGCTTGCTCTTAGACCAGTCCCTGCAGCCTCTCTACCCTTCCTCTCCAGCGGTGTAAGTATCCTTGAGTCAAAACATTCTATATGCTCTGTAAAGGACATGAGGACGCCGAGCGTAATAACATTGCTGCAGCAAAGGAGGAGGGAGGCTGGAGGGAGTGGAATAGCAGCCAGCTGTCTCTGTGGCTCAGGTGAGTATAAATAAACAAAAAAGATCTATGCCTGTGATGATGCAAAAAAAAGGTGAAAAAGAGATACTAAGCACTAAAATTATATCTGATATAATACAAAATATATATGCAATAATGTGCCAAGCTGAAGAAACAATCAAATAAAAACAGTGAAAAATACAACTTTGATTATAAGCTGAACTCAAACCACATAACATACACAGTGAAATAAAGTCCAAAACGAATCAAACAATGCGATGCAATGTGTGCAAACAACATGGGCAGTCCTCCGAAGCAGACTTTATAGTATGCAGGACAACAGACTGTTTGATAATCCTTCACCTCCACCAAGTGAATGCACAAATTACAAAGGAGTGCTCACCTGGGTCTGTGGACACACAGAGTAGGACATCGAACGCTGGACGTAATGTACGTAGGGCGGACCATCTGACGTCATCACTTCAGTGGAGCCGGACGGACGGGAGCTGTATTGCATTTGCTGTACTCTAGTACATTGAGGGAATCCCCTGTGGGAATCTTATATACTGGCTATTTCTTGGCATTGTGTGAGTACCTGTTTTTATCTAATAACTTTTATGTTTTTGGATGGTACGCACTGTGTTTTCTGTTTTGTTTCTTTTCGATCTGATGAGCGTATCTACGACCTGAAAGGATCTATTTTACTCTGATACTATGGGCCTCCCTCCCCCTCTTAAGGCTGGGCACACACCTTACAACCATATTTTGTCTTGCGATCTGCCTATCTTGGACAGGCAGATCGTACTTGTGATGATCGCAAGCCCGCCCCGCTGAGGGGCGGGCTTTCGACGACCGCAATGCCGAACGGGCAGTGTGCGCTTGCGCACACACGCCTGTCCGGCTTTTATCTTACGAACACGCTACACACCCGCCAAACATCGTACGATTCTCGGCGGGTTTTCGAACATGTTCGTAAGATAAAAGTCGTGCGACCTTACAGTAGCAGAGTACAAAACAAAAAGAATCCCCAGCACACCTGCCAGCTGGTCTGCAACAAAACAAAATACCCTGTCTAACAGTATACGTTAAAAGCACAGGTTTTAGTTGCACAAACCTTTGGCCAAAAATATGTAGAAGCCACACAGACACCGTCAAGGCTCCTCTGCAAAGTGTGGTCCTAACTCTATTTATATGAGTCCCCTAGTGGGAGCATATTGATGCAGTTGATAAATTGAATGCAGGTGAACCAGGAGCTAGCCTACTCCTCCTCACAAGGTGCAGGGACGCACCGGAGGCCCAGAAACCACATATGTATGCTGGGATCCCCAATGCATCACTACATCCAAAATAGTCAAACTAGAAAAAGATGGTAACCGCATACATTTATAACCAGCCTTTGTAGCAGGGTGCACATCTGCCAGCTGGCCTGCAACAAAACAAAATACCCTGTCTAACGGTATACGTTAAAAGCAAAGGCTGGTTATTAATGTATGCGGTTACCATCTTTTTCTTGTCTTACAGTAGCAGAGGTCGCACGGCTCCCACACACCTTACGATAATCGTACGATCGCGGGATTTCCCACGATTATGGTAAGGTGTGTGGCCACCTTTAGAAGGGAAAATTGGCTTGAGACCTACTCTGTGTGTCCACAGACCCAGGTGAGCACTCCTTTGTAATTTGTGCATTCACTTGGTGGAGGTGAAGGATTATCAAACAGTCTGTTGTCCTGCGTACTATAAAGTCTGCTTCGGAGGACTGCCCATGTTGTTTGTACACATTGCATCGCATTGTTTGAATTTATTATCTACACCGCATCGTTTGATTCGTCTTGGACTTAATTTCAGGTGAGTATAACTTTTTTTTAGCACCTAGACAAAATCGAGCACTTAGTTCTTGCAGAGCAGGTGTAGCCTCACTGCAAGGGTTAAGATTATTTCTGCGCAGAGTTCTTCTTTAACAATGCTGCCTTTGTTCTTTGGAGAGGGAGCTCGTTAGCCAAACCTGCTCTTTTGGGTAAATCTGTCAAAATAAGATTGTAAAATATCTTGCATTTTCATGTACATCTCATTTTGATTTGTTGTTAAAATGTATGTTAACTGCCATGTCCAAACCTTCAGCAGGCCATTGTACTTCCTATCAGGTCTGTAGCATTCATGTACAAATCTAATTAACAGTCCAACAACCATCTGAAGCTGCACCTACGGCAGGCTGACAACGCTGCTGCTATTTCAGCCTCCAAAAGGAAGTGCTGTTACTGGCAGGATCTCCCAGTAAGAAACTCTGCAACAGATTCGCAAAAAAAGATTTTGGGTTTGCATGCATTTTAGGGGCCTAGTCCTTTGCCATTTATAAGTATGCAGATATGGCCTGCTAACGTTTCTGTGACTTTCATGATCTGCATACTTAATCCAGATCATTACCATAGTATTGAAACCAGAGGAACAATAGGACAGCCAGGCACCTAGCATTTTCAATGGCAGCCCCACATTTCTTTAATGACAGATTTACCTTAAAGCCAAACTCCAGGCAAACAGCTAAGTGCACAAATAAAATATATATATGGGAGCATTTTTATCTGCCAAAGGTGTGTATTTTGTCTATTCAGTCCTAATGTTTACACAGCTCTGTCACACAATGCAGCCCTGTCTGGCAGGGCAGGAGACCTGCTTTTTCTCTGCTGCAGATACATAACACTTACAGGCAGTGGCGTAACTATAGCCAGAGCAGCCCAGACGGCTGCTATGGGGCCTGAGGGTGGAAGGGGGCCCCACTAGGTTGTTAAAAGAGAACTATGAGGTCAGTGCTTTTCTCCATAGTTCTCCTAAGGGTAACGGGAGGACACAAACTAGTGTCCTCCCGTCACCCAAAGCTCAGTATACCGCGAGCTACAGCTCACGGTATACTGAGACGCCGCAGCCGGGCGGATCCCGACATTACTGTCTGGATCCACCCAGCTGCGTGAGTGACAGCTGGCTCTGCTTATCTAGAGGCAGAGCCAGCTGTACCCGCCCCCTCTCCTGTCCGTTCCGCCAGTCAGCGCTGGAGCATCGGACAGGGGAGAGGGGAATCCCTGCAGGGAGCCGTGAGTGGCAGTCACAGCTCTATGCAGGGACAGGATTGAGAAGTGAGCGAGCGCCGGTATGTGTTCGCTCCATTTCCGATCTATTGAGCCGACCTGTGACAGTTTCATTGTCACAGGTCGCCTAGAACTATGAGGCTGAGTGATTTTCACTCGCCTTATAGTTCTCCTTTAAGGCAAATTAAACATAGAACATGTTAAGACAACACAGTACTGTATCATTAAGGGTTGGAGTGGCTGCAGTTGATTCTAATCCCCTGTAAAGTCTACCGTGTAGAGATTACTTCAGATGCTCAAGAGAAGTCTTTGGGATCTTGGCACCGTTACTCACAGCTCAGAGAGAGGCCATCAAGGGGGCCCCCATCATATTTGAGATCTGTAGTTATGGCCCTGCTTATAGTCTTGTTTCTTCCCCGGTCTGTGACTCCATAATGAAAGGAGAAGCAGCAGACTGATAAGCTCATCTCTCTTTTAGTCTGCTTACTCCTCCTATCAGCATGTTCCTTGTTATCACATTAGAACTGCAAAACTCCTGATTGGCTCTTAGACCAACCCCTCTCCTCTCAGTACTGCTGATTAGGTTTTTGCAAGAGGCGGATACCAAGTGCTTACATTGTGTACATTTAAAAAAAATGCATTTAATAATCTATTAAAGTATTAATAAATATAGAGCTGAAGTAATCTGTGTCATTGATATCTGCCTGGAGTTCATCTGTAATGTATGATCATATAAACTGAAAGACATCTGCACTTGCGAATATTGAATATAACCCTTTGCTCTGGAATTCCTTTTTTTTTATCTGGCCAACGCTTTGACTTTCAGGGTGCTCATTGGTTCACCATTGGAGGGACAACCATCTCGCAAAACAGGAGATGTGTATAAATGTTCAGTGAAAGGACAATCGAAATGCATGAAGATGGACTTGCCAAGTTAGTATCATTGTTATATTAGATAAATGCTTCTCTAGCAATTAGTAACTTGTGGCACTTTTTAGTAAATGTTTAGTGGCAAAGGATTATATCTATGCGTTCATTTAAGTTTATGATTGATGCACGACTCTTCTTTCTATATATATATTGTTATATGACAACAGCATTATTACAACTTAAAGAAGGACTCCAGGCATGTAGCCCCATTGCAAGGCTTAAGTGCTCCTTTTGTTTTAGGGTGTAAAATAAAAAAAAAGATATACACACCTGATCTATCTGTAAAAAAATAAATCAAGGCAACTGGACTTGCTGTATTTTTCTTGAAGACGATTTGCTGGTCATCCAACCAGCTTTCTCAATTCTGAAGAAAGCTGGTTGGATGACCAGTGAAACGTCTTCACGAAAAATACAGCAAGTCCGGTTGCCTTGACTTATTCTTTGCAGATATACCATGACCTGGATGAATGAGGACTTTCACAGACATACTCACCCGATCGTTGGTCCCACCTGGCTGCTAGACTGTTCCCTGCAGCCTCTTCTTTCCCCGACTCTGGTGGTCTATGTCTCGCTAATGTCATCACATCTATGAAAGGTCCATTCACTTGTATTAGATGTGAGGACACTGGTTGACATACCACCGCCAGAGCGGATGGTGAGAGAAGTGAATGGTCACAATGAGACCGAGGATCAGGTGAGTGTATCTTCTTTATTTTAGACTCTAGACCAAAACATGCACTTAACCCTTGCACTGCAGAGGCAACCCCACTGGAAGGGTTACCTTCTTACATGCCTGGAGTGCATCTTTAAAGCAGAACTCCAAGCCTGGGTTTTTTTTTCATCTCTGGTATGTTAAAGTGGACCTTTACCCCATTTGACTAAAAATCACATCAGCATACAGCTCTGCATGTTGATATGAAATCATCTTACATTCATTAGCTAAACAAATATAATGTTATTTTACTTACAATTTATTTTTTCCACTTTCTTTTTTCCACTTCCTGGTCCTATTTGGCACAAATGATGTAATCGTGCCCAAGCATTGCATCCTAGGAAGCTTACATCAGCAGAGCATTGCTGGGAAATCTCATCTGTAATCTCATGAGATCTCAGGGAAAGGCATTTTCCTTCCCTGAGATGATGTACATGGTCATATGTCCTGGTCACATGTGCCAGAGTTCTAGGAAGTAAAGGGAGATCTACTAACTTGCTCTTAGTTAAAATGGCCACTCTGAGAAGACTGGGGAGGAAAAGAAAAATAAGGTATGCAAAAAATATAAAGCCGTCAATTATATAGAAGTATGTGTTTATAGATTGTCATTACTAAACATTTCTAAAGGTACCTTGGTTGTTATGTTGATGATATGGGTAAAGTTTCTCCTTAACAAACATTACCTTTAGTGAGGAGTTAGCCATTGCTGGAATGCTGATCTGTACTTAGAAATCTATACTGTTGTCTACACCGAATAGCACAGCTCTCGCTATACTTCCGGTTCCCAAACAACACAGCATTCTGTGAATGGCCACTGGAAGAAGAGGGCAGATAGATGACACAAGCATTCCTGTGTATGAGAGCCTCACTCTCAAATCCACAGGGGGCCTGCAGAGTAGTGACAGTTGTACTATTTGGCATAGACAAAAGTATAGAATTTAAGGTAAAGAACAGCGATCCAGCGATGGCACGCACCTTAGTAGAGGTAACCTTTGTTAAAGAGAACCTTTCCCCATATCTTTGAAATGACAACAAATACACCTTTAGAAATGTTTAGTAATGACAATCTACAAACACATGCTTCTAGATAATTGTCGGCTGTGTATTCTTTGCATACCTTTCTCTTTTCTTACCCAGTCTTTTCATTGTGACCATTTTAACTAAGGGCAGGTCTAGATCTCCCTTTACTTCCTGGAACTCTGGCACATGTGACTAGGACATGTGACCATGGACATCATCTCAGGGGAGGAAAATGCCTTTCCCTGAGATCTCATGAGATTACAGATGAGATTTTCCAGCAATGCTCTGCTGATGTAAGCTTCCTAGGATGCAATGCTTGGGCACGATTACATCATTTGTGCCAAAGAGGACCAGGAAGGGGAAAAAAGAAATTGTAAGTAAAATAAAAATATGTTTGTTTATCTAATGAATGTAAGATGATTTTATATCAGCATGCAGAGCTGTATGCTGATATAATTTGTAGTCAAAGGGGGTAAAGGTCCACTTTAGAAACTGAAAAAAATACCTCTGCCTGGAGGTCTGCTCTAAGATTTTACTGACTCTACCTATTTCTTTTAGGATATACCACCATTGCCAATGTTACAGAGGTGAAAGAAAATATGACCATGGGATCAACTTTAGTAACAAATCCTAATGGTGGATTTATGGTAAGACTAGTGATGGTAACACTGTCCCTCATCCTTTAACCATTTATTTACTATACACCTACAAAAAACTATTTAAAGAGTAATTCCACTTTTGTTGAAAAAAAACAAAAACATTCCTCTCTCTGGGTGATCAATGTACATTGCAAGGATTTTAAGAAACGTTGTTGCAGTTTCCTACCTGTTTCTGTTCTGAAGAAATAGCTGTTTGTTACAGCATGACCTTTCTAAATTGATCCCTGAATGGGAGGGTCTGTTTAGAAAGGTCATGCTGTAACAAACATATCATATTGTACCAAAAAAATTAGTATTATGTTTCTGTGCACTAAATTTTAATTTAGTTTATGTTTTCCTAAAAAAATACTGGTTTGATAAACATTTGCACAAAAACCGTGCAACTTAAAAAATTGCAACTAGCATTTTTTAATTCTACTGGGCCTCTGCTTTTAGAACATATATCATTGTTTGGGGGTCTGAAGCTGTATTCTAGCCAAAATTGTTTATTTGATCATGTGTGAAAAAATAGTAGAATGCCCCAGATAGCAAGTGGTTAAAAAACCCTATCCGAATTGATCTGAGCCAAAAACTAAACATTTGATTCAATACAAATTCACAAATAATGAACCAAATCGAATTTCGGATCTGAAATCCAAAATCCCCCCAAAAGTATGAATCAATCCAAAATTAAATTATTTTTTTGCGCCTTTACATGTCTAAAAATAACTTATTATTATTATTGTTATTACAAACATTAGTAATTATAATCATTATCACCATCACCATATAGCAGTGCTAAACAGTAAACAAATCTGTTTAAAATATGATCTTGTAGCACTGCATGAATTTTTTAAAGGTGTCAATGCAAGTAGCATTTCTTTGCTCTGATAGTATGCATCTGAATGTATCTAAAGCCAAAACATTTTTGTATTTTTGATTAAGTGGCAAGGTTCAGAAGCCATGTTATGTTTTGTATTGCTCTCTGTGTCCCCACTGGGGTGATTTATTTTATATATTCCTCCTGGTGAATTTTACTGGTATACAAAATGGTGGGAGATTGTAAAATGTTGAGTTTGCCACCAGAGCAGGAAGAGGGAAAATAGTCCAATGGAAAAACTTGTTCCAGTGACAACTGTCTAGGAGGGAATTGCCTTGACTTTGGAGCAATTTCCTTTCACTTCCTGGTATGTCTACTGAACAGGAAGTGAAGGGGAATTTTCCCAATGGGTCATAGATGGCAAAAAAAAGACAGTGGTTTAACCCATTACTGTTCCAAAATCCAAAATGAAAAAGCTTTAGATATTGTTTAATAGTTGTATTTCTGACACTGAGATGTATGGAATATTTAACTTTGTGGAATAAATAAGTGATTTACTCTGTTCTTAAAGGCCTGTGGACCTCTCTATGCATACAGATGTGGAAGCCTGCTCTACACTACTGGAATTTGTTCAAATGTCAGTTCTAAATTTCAAGTTTTAAACTCCATCGCCCCAGGAGTGCAAGGTACAGTATTCTCAATGCATTATAATTTGGGCTCCTTTTAATGATCTTTGAACCAGCTTCCATCCTACACATTATCTGCATGAGGGCAGGCTTTCTTTGCCAAAGTTTACATCAACTGCTTTCAGATATGAAATACCTGAGAAACAACAAACGGCTCCATAATCAGAGAATAAAAACTCTGCTCCACTCTGTCCATAGAAACCCATTTATTCCCACATTGGGCGCTGACATCTTGACTCTTGCACAGCAAAGAGAAGGTGAAACCAAGCTGTCAATTACAGCCCACACATCAAAGACACTTTTGCTCTTCCTGTAATAAATATACCATATCATCTGCATATATCATCAGCCAGGCAGAGTGGCTAAGGACAGAAATGAAGGCTTAACTATTGACCTTTGATAAATGTGAAATTTGCATATAAGTGCCACTGGTGCAGCTCAGTCTGCATATTGTTAGGAAGGAACACTGCATTTGATGGAGTGGAATGTGTGGGTACCATTATGTGAACATGTTTGGACACTGGAAAGGTCTACTTGAAAGAAGAATTCCTAAATAGAAAGGCAGGATATTATATTGCAGGATATTCACAGGGATGGGTCAAAATGGCTAAGTATAATTTTACAGGAATGGGTCAAATCCAGTGTGTGGGACACTCCTATTGTGTTTTGGGAGTTGGCCTTTCATTATCTTATTGAGCCCAGTTGATTAAAGTGACACTAAACCTTAACTATTAACAAAAATGTACCTTTGTGTATCACTCGGCTGTAGATCCTCAAATCATCTCTGAATTTGTGCTGACACTGTCATTCCTTCTGGAGGGTGGCTACATTTTTTTCCCCCATGGTCTCCATGTGTTGTAAAGTGGCCACCGCTTCAAGCTCACTCCCATGATGGACTACAATCTCATGTTTAGTTTACCAATTTGTTTTGAGATTGTAGTCCATCACGGGAACAAGCTTGGAGCGGTGGCTACTTTACAACACACACAAATCATAGAGAACAAAATAATCCACCCTCCATCTACAGCCAAGTGATGCACAAAAGAGATACATTTTTGTTAACAAGTGAGGTTCTTGAATGCATTTTTAAGGTTTAACTCCTGAGTTTAGTGTCACTTTAACTACTTTAAAGCTTTTTTAAAATGCTTCCACGTGTGCCTGTGGTGTGCATATATGTGTGTGTATATATATTGAAAATGGGCTTACGTTATATTGTATTATCGGACAATCTTAATCTCAAGGTTAATTTCCACAGCTTTGCTTACATGTAGTTTACATTGACTACATAAACATAAAGGAAAAATGTGATTCACTTCATTCTTTAGTGCTGTGTTAAGGCAGGGGTTGAGTCATCTACTGGTGACATGTGTATTATAAATACTTTTAAAGCGTTTTTTTCTCTACCAGGGTTCCTGCCCATGCCTCTCTGTTTTATAAAGCTGAGCATACAAATCTTGATCCACTAGCTGCATTACCCAGAATTAGGGATGCACAGATACTTTTCAAGTACCAGTGCAGATACTTGGCATTTTCATGAGAACTACCAGGGTTGCAGCGGTTGCAGCTGGGACCTGGCTCTGGCACTCCCCCACTGTCCTGAAATCATTAGTCTGTATTGTTTTAGAAAAACTGTCACATGACAGTAAACAAAAATGTATCAGTACTCGTACTTGTAAGTACTCGGCAAGTACCAGTACTCGTACTCGCGAAACTGGTATCTGTGCATCCCTTTATTTATAAAAACAAAATTGTACATTAAAACAGAGATGTAAAAATTCCAGGAGCTCCGTGTGCTCCTTACAAATGACAGCTGCCTCCTAACTTTTACATTTTTCTCTAGTCTAGTCTTGGAGCTCAAAAGTATCGGTACATGTACTCGTACTTGTACCGAGTACTGTACTTGGTATCTGTGCAACCCTACCCAGAATATAAAACAAATGAAACATTCAGTAGCAAAATGAGCACCCACTTAGCAATGAATATGGCAGGTGGGTGGAGCTGGGAACACAGGTACTGAGATCTGACCTCTGGAATCTTCATGAGCTAGGAAGCTGAAGGGTGATGATACAATTCACCGCCATCTACCTAAAAATAACCTTTTTTGCATTGAGTGACCTCTTCCTTTAATATTTCTCTATGTTTTAATTCTGATGTATCCTACTGTAAATTCCTTTACAGAATGTACCACCCAGCTGGACCTGGTGATAGTTCTCGATGGCTCTAACAGTGTTTTTCCCTGGCACAGTGTGAACAAGTTTTTAATAAAACTATTGAACAAAATGGTCATTTCTCCTACACAAACTCAGGTAAATATGTTTTTTTTTTTTCTCTTAAATCAAAGATGTTTATTGATTTTGAGGTAACAAGACACATTTGCAAAGACAGTGGGAGCACATGGTTACAACTTACAGCACGCAATGCAAGGAAATACAAAATGTATTGGGATAGGCAGAGCTCAAGTTTTAAACAAAATGACAGGTATCGCTGGTGTAGAAGGCTCGCCACTCAAACAGATCAAGTACATGTTACAGGGTTATTAGGAGGAAAATGTTCCATTGTGAGTCACTGCATCACAGGACCGCAATTCGTGCTGTGAAAGAGCATACTAAACCACTGCAAATATTAAACATTAAAGGTCACACCCAAGAAGGGCAGTTGGAAAGAAATAGAGATAGAAAAAGAAGAAAGAGTAGGAAAGACTAGGGTGAGAAAGGAGAGGGAAAGGGAGAGGGCTTACCAGGGTCAGTTCCTTCCCACGCATACGTGGGGGAAGTTTGTTGTTGATGCAAAGTTTTAAAGTGGTAGCAGACCGCTCTCAAATGATTCCGACTGGAAATATTGGAGCCATGGTTGCCACGTCTGTTCAAAGCGTGCGACTTTGTCTTCCAGCCTGGCAGTTATACGTTCATTAATGAAGGTCCAGTGGAGTCTGCGTTTTACTTCTGCAAAAGGGATAACAGTGGACTTCCAGGATTTCGCATGAGTTATGTTTTCTGGAGGAAGGTTGAGTAACACCACCTTCGGGTCAAACGGCAGCGTCTTACATATCAGACTGGCCAAGAAGTCCAGTACCCGGTGCCAAAAGGCCTGTGCTGTCGGACAGGGCCACCAGATGTGTATATAGGACCCCACTTCTCCACAATCTCGGAAGCACTCCCCCGTGTGTCCCGGTACAAATGCCCGCATACGACTCGGGACATGGTACCAGCAGTAGAGTAGTTTGTAGTTGGTCTGTAGTGCGGTCACACTCTGGGAGCTGGATTTGGTCAGTTCCCATATAAATTGCCAGTCAGCTTCAGCAGTGGGGTAACCAAGGTCTCTCTCCCAGGCAGATATATAGGTGTGGGGATTAGTAGTGAGGTTAGCTAATAAACAGGCAAATATGGAGGAATATGTTTTATTATATGAGTATAAAAATATATCAAATATGCATTAGCATTTAAAAGCTTTGCATGTTTGGTAGTTGCCAATGATCTATCTATGTTTAGAAAACTTAATAAAGTATCAACCAGGTATTAAATAAATGGTTAGCCAACATAGTTCTAAACCATAAACCATCCCCTCATTATTTTTCCAGGCAGTGCAGAGATAACCTCCAGATCTGCCATATACACTCTGTGTAAAAATGACCAAAAACCAATGTTGGGTGTGCATCAATGCTGGTCAGTTACATGACTTAGTGATTTATTTTACTGGGGACTCCAATGATGAGATCTCCAATGTCAGTGTCCTTCAGCCTTCCTCCCCACAAGTAGAAGACTCAATACTTACATTCTCAGTGATGCAAAAAAAAAAGCAGATAATCAGAGAGTCCATGACAGTTCGGAAGAGTTGTGGATGCAGTGATCTCCCAGGTAGTCACAGGGCAGTACTTGGTACTTAGACTCTCAATTCAATGATCAGATCTTGAAGAGATCTACAATTGTCTGGATCTGTTCATATTCAAGTCAATTTGCAATGACCACAAGGAAATTGAATATATATTCAGTTTAAGTTTCTGAACATAGTACCACACACAATAAAAAAGATAGAAAAATAACATTTACCTAAGAGATAACACATGACGGGTTACACCAAAAATAACAGTCTCTTGGCTGTGTCTATTCCTCGCCAATCACTTCTGTAGGCTGCTGAGTTTTGATGGTCATGATGGCAGTTCTCCAGTGATCGTAAAGCCCCCTCACAGCAAACTGTCTTGGTAGTGTCAAAAACAACAGCTCAGCACTATAATGTCACTCCCAAATGTGGGACTCTGGTACAAGCTCAACTCCAGATAATTTATATAACACTGAGCTAGCAGCTAATTTTTTTCTATGTAGTAAGCAAGACGGTTGCTCTGTTAATTCTATGCCATCCTTTATTGTAATCCCAGATACAAACCTAATAAAAAGATTATATATTAATCTAGCAATGCATACACAGAGATGTTATTGAACCTGCCAGCATCCTTCTCAAGTAAAGTTTTAGGACTAATAGGACTTTAGGATGAGTTTTATTTTACATTTAAAAAAATATAAACATAATATAAAAAACAACTGCAGCAACCTCTGCAGGAAATAACCAGAAATAGGCCTGCAACAAATCTAATCTATTTAACTAAGGAAATGTTTAACAGAGCATTTTGTTTTTAAGGTTGGCATTGTTCAGTATGGAGAAACAGTGACTCATGAATTCAATTTGAACACACACTCTTCCACAGAGAGTGCACTGGAGGCGGCCAGCAAGATAAGACAGCTAAAAGGCAATTTTACACACACAGCTCTGGGTATTCAACAAGCAAGGTATGTGCAGAAAAACAATCTTCTCTTTGTTTTCTGAGAAAGCACAGGAGATGACGTTCTAAAAGTCTACAGATTGACATTACTGTGTTCACTTCCAACAGTAGCAGCAGCACCTCGGTGCAAGTAGTAAAGTAATCTTCATAATTTCATACATCTCAGTTGCATCCTACATTCAACACCCACATCTGCCTATAACCAAGTATGATGTCTGCATTCACAGTAGAGTTCTCAATCTTCCCACTTATGTGACACCAGACACCATTCAACCTGAAAGATTCACATTTTCAGGCCAGTCACATTATGCTGTAGGGTCCTCTTGCTCTTCCCCTCTTCTGCAAGTCTGGTAATCCCCACTTATGATGTCAGTAACGCTCTCTGCACCAGCATACTTAGAATAAAGGACACAGAGATGACACCTATTTTGTCAGGAAATACCTTTTGCATCCTTGTACCTACTGTATGCCAACAATGCAGATATTCTGTTGACTGTGAAAAAAACACCCCCCCAGAAATTTTGTTTCCTGCTTGTGTGATCGCCTCACTGCTTTGCTTGCATAAACCTTCAAGGCAAAAAGAAGCATTTCCTACAACAATAAAGGTGCCCATACACCTTACGATTATCGGACGAAACTTTTCGTCCGAGGATCGAATAGTCGTACAATTTTCAAACGGCAGCCCCATCCTGCCCCGATGATCGCAAGATTAATTTAGCCGTAATTAACAAAAAGCACCTGGACGAAATGCGGTAATTGATTTGCCGTATTTTCGTTAGCGCAAGCGCAGTGTAGATCGTACAACTTTTGATGGACGGAAACGCCAGCAACCTTGCGACAATCGTACGATCTAGCAAAGTTTTCAAACATGCTTGACCGTCAAAAGTCGTACGATTGTACAGTACTGTCGGTCGGACACTGCAGTGCACACATACCATTGTCGGCCGAAAAGTCGATCACATACGATAATCGTAAGGTGTATGGGCACCTTAAGTGCTTTGTTTTTGGTTAGATGGTTTGTAATGCTTAGGCACACATAAAAGGATGCAGGGTATGCATTTTTTTTTTATAAATGAGTAAAAACACAAAAATGTCCCAGCACACTTACTAGCTAGTTTGCAAAAAACCTTTAGGGTTAAAAACAGACTGGGAAACTGGAGCAGACAGAATCTGGAGCAGTTGCCCGTGGCAACCAATCAGCTTCTATCTTTCATTGTCAAAGGTTAACTGAACATACTTAAGAGAGAATCTGCTTGGTTATTATGGGCAACTGTTCCAAATTCTGTCTGCTCCAGTTTTGATAAATCCGCCCCAGAGGTTTTAGTTACACAACTTTTGCAAATTATGTGGAAGCCGCCCTGCCTCATCAATGCCCTTCTGTGTAGTAATAACTTTGCAATGCATACAGGGCACCTATAAAAAAAAATTCTCAATAAAACTGATGTTTCACTGTAAGTATGTGCCTTAAGTGCTGTGCCGTTAACGATTCATCCTTCTGGCAGCACTTCAACACAAATATAAACTACGACTTTATTTTCCTTGTTAAGTTAATGCAGTGGAACGAAGCCTAAAATAATGTACCGTATATACTCGAGTATAAGCCGAGATTTTCAGCCCATTTTTTTGGGTGAAAAGTGCCCCCCTCGGCTTATAGTCGAGTCAGCGCCAGCGCGTCTTCTTACTTACCTCGCCGAGCGTCGCGTCACTGCTGCTCCGGTGTGCGGCGCTCCGAGCGGGGTCATCTGGCAGTCTCCGGGTCCTAATTTAGGTGGCAGCCTCCGCAGCAGCAGCGACGCTCGGCGAGGTAAGTAAGAAGAAGAAAAACCCCCCCGCACGGCCAGTCAGGGAGGGGAGCAGGGATGAGTCAGCGGCGCGCTGATCAGGCGAGAGGAGCTCCAGGTGGGGTTGTAATTTAGCGGGCAGGCACCTCTGAGCCAGCTAAATTAGGACCCCACCTGGAGCTCCTCCCACTGGACCATTATATTCGGGACGGCTTATACTCGAGTATATACGGTAAGTATTGTGAGAAAGTGGCAAATGTGAAAAATAAGATTTCTTTGAAAGCGCAATGAGAAATATTTTACAGCTGGCACTGCTCTACTTTCAGTGATTGTGGTGAAAAATCCAACAGCTGCACAATAAATCATTCAGATAAGGTAATGTCTTATCAGGCACACTGTGGCAGATGTATCAAGCCACTTGCATCAAACAACTAGTGATAATCCTCTCATTCCTCTGTGTCTTTGTTTGTTTCTTGTGTATCCACACCAGTGATAATGGGTGTCAGACAGAACAGGAAGTGAGGGGAAAATCCTCCCAGTGGGCACACATGGAGTAATAAAAAGTTATAGTAGAGTAAGAATGGTGTGCCATGGGGAGTCTTATAGAAATTGGGCTCAAAGGAATTTGGTCAGTTGTCCGTCAATAAAATCAAGGCACCCCAGAAAGGGCACATTCCACAGTTGAATAATCATTTAACCTGGAAGGGGGCTGCTGCATGATGGAACAGGACAGTGCTGCAGTATGGGAAGGGTGTGTTCTGCTTTAATTACTTTTGCCAATAAAGGAAGAAGGGAAAAGAAAAAGAAATAGCATATATTCCCCTATACTGAGGCTTGTGCATGTAATTGTTGAACAATGGCCCTTTATATTTAGGAGCATGGCCCAAAAGACAAAAAAATATTATTTGGCACCATTTTTTGAATTCAATGAATGCTGTTCCTAATCACTGTAACCGCCTCGAAGGGCATAAATCCACTTGAACGTTGTATTTTACATAGACACGAAAAGACTAAAACTCAAACAGAAGCAAAGTAAACTAAATATAGCATAGTGGATCTTTTAACGGCTCAGAGCACATAGCCGAATATGGAAACTTAACAGTTCCCGCTGAATTATGATGTGTGCAATATGGATTGTCATCCTGGAATGCTAAGACAGCTAATTGGATTTAACGTTTCTTGGCATGACTGATTCCAGACAGATGCACGGCGTATTTAACTTCTTAAACAATGTACAGTATACAATGTATTCTTTCTATAGTCACCAACTACTGGAAACTCTGAGTTTATGTCACATGAATGTAAAGAGAAGGTAACTCATCTGACTTCTTGAGCTGAAAACAGATATGAACATTTTAGAAAGAGAAGGGCCTTTCTAAATGTTATTTTGAAGAGGAGCGGCTCATTTGTAGAAAAAGACTGCAATCCTTGATAAACCAGAAGAAATGGTCGCTTTGGGTTACGGAAACTAGAATGTATTGTCAGTGAGCACTTCGCTAAAGATTCCCTGAAAGGAATTTTAGAGATGTTTTTAATAGATTAACTTGCTTCTTGTCCCTCATTTGCATGATTATATTATATTCATAGATTTTTTGGTTGGTATCTGTCAAGCAGATCCTTGATAAACAACTTCTGTGAGAAAGTCAATGCAGGATAGACCACCAAGAGAGTATATTGTCTATAAAATAGCTCATTCAGCTGAAAAAGAAGCACACAGAAGCAAAACAGCACCATACCAAGGCTGTTATCACGTACCTGGATGGAGGCCAAGCTGAACAGGGGGCAACCCTTACACCACTTGTCTGACTCCCCTGGTGGTGAAAGGAGGAGTGATGAAATATGGAAGCATGAATTTCGATGCTGTGGCTGAGCAGATTCTGTACTGGAACTTGAGTGCAATGACCTGACATATTTAATGGCAGGAACCAAGCAGCAGACTGGAGCAGCAACGTAAAGCTGGAAGCTGTAGCTGACAAAAAGTGTATCAACACAGGGTTAAGGCTGCAGAAACTAGACAGAGTCACGTAAGTATAAGAAACTAAGTCGAGGTCACAAGCCAGAGTGATACACTCTGATGTGCAGCTGCGGTGGCAAATTGTTGGAGGCAAATGGAGTCAAGGTCATAGGCCAGGGTCATACACAGGAGAATCAGATATGATGGCAAGGTGCCAAATCGGTAATCAGGAGTCGAGAAAATAAGCCAGAGTCATACACAGGTCAGTGGAATCACAGAATCAGGTTGCAGGAACACAGGAAGGAGCTGAACTCCAGTCAGGAACTCTGGTGCACACATATGCCTGTACACACACACAACCACTACTGCTTACATGCAGAAGTCCTAGTGCGCACATGTCTGCACACACATCTGTGTGCATGAACGCCAGTCTGTGCGCACACGCCAGTCAATGTTTGCCCATAGTCCTGTAAGCAGGGCCGTTCGATATAGTGCAAACCCACTGCTGTTCCCTGGTGAGTACCTTGCAGCTGTGTATTGTAATAGGAACAAGGTTTTTGAAAGATAAAACTGTATGTACAATAAATAAAAAATAAACATATGCAATACGTCTCTGCAATTCATGCACATGTCCCTGTGTATTATCTCTTGCTGCAAGTACAGAAAAATACCCCTTGATCTCTGAAAAAAACAGCAAGCTTCTAACTTCCTGCAGGTGAGAGCTCATGTGGGGCTGACAACACTGCTTGGCAATTCAGCGCAAAAGATGCACTATGTTGCCGGCTCACTACTGTTGGTTGTGGGTTTAGATGAAGCACTGAGATCTTAAGGAATGCTGAATTAAGTTTTACTTGCTTAGGAGAACTTTACATCAGAATACAGCATTATATAGCATACAGAGAGAACTTCCTGTGTATCATAGATAAACATGCATATAGAAAACAAGCATTGCACTACACCGCCATCTACACCTCAAAAGACATAACAGTAGAATATCAGTAATATGCTGTTGTATTTCCAACACCCCATCTCAACAGCATACCGTGTTTCCCCGAAAGTAAGACCTACCCCGAATATAAGACCTATCCCTATCTTCAGGGAGTTCAGTAATATAAGACCTACCACCGAAAATAAGACCTAGTT